AATGAATAATTTAAATATTAGTTTAGTGTTCAGACATCCGCCGAAATCTCAGGAAGAATTCTTTGACGAATTAAAACAGAATAAAACAGACATCATATTAATGCCGGCGATTGTCAATCACATTCATATGTTCAATACTATTATAGACAAAATTACTGGCATTAATTATATCCCATCCAATTGCCTGGGTTATCTTGAATTGGGTAATATAGCGGCCAAAGTACGTCCCGGCTCTATATACCTGTTCAGTTATTTTCTATGTTTCGATATATGGGTTTGGCTTTTAGTTATTGTGTCGATCATTATTTTATCACTTATTGCTTCACTTCATTCAAATGGTTTGAAAACATTTTATGAATGTAACTGGAATTTTGCGACACTTGCAATTTGCAAATCATTTCAATCATTTGTGTTTACATTTAACACAAAACAAAATTTCATATTTGGCATGCAGATAATTAGTTCAGTAGTACTGGCCATTCAGTTCTCAACCTATCTCTTGGATTACATGATAAGAGCCGATCCTATCGTCAAAATTGATTCAATTGAAGAGATGTCTAAAACAAAAGATATGATGTTTTATATCAGGGAAGACAGCACTCTCTATGACTTTGCTATCAATAGTGACACAAAGTTAGCTAAAGATATCTATAAACGGTTTAAATCTTTTAGAAAAGATGAATTTCGTTCACAAATTTTTATCAAAGGCTTAATCAAAGATTTAGAATCGGGTTCATTCGGTTTAGTGAGCAATAAATTGTCATTGATAACAATTTTATTAGAGTTTGAACCAAATTTAATTAATATATTGCATATATCGACAAATGGTGGCGAAAATCTACCGTATTTTTTAGCTATCAATGAATACGCGAATAAAATTATTTTACACTCTTTGAATGATATGTAAGTTTGATATTATCTCTCACTTTATTATTATTGTGATCAATAATTGTTAATAATATTTTCACAGTATTTTAATAACACGAGAATCAGGATTGTATGACAAATGGATTGATAGGACTTTAAGGGTGGCAAAGAAATTTGATCGCGATTTAGATGACGTTCACGTAAAGGATGAAATTTATGCATTTTCCCGATTATCTCTGTATGGTTTATGTGATTCATTTTACTTACTATTTATTGGAGTTTCCATTTCGATAGTAGTTCTCACTTTAGAGATCGTATATAATTATTATATGATTGCATTTAAACCACACAAACATTCTTACTTTCATAAGAGATCTCATTTCAAATTATTGCGAAAAAGTCAAACATTTTCACTCAATCAAATAATTAAATAAAATATTTAATTAACAATCATTGGTTTACAATAAAGTTGTTTTCCTAAAAGTTTTTTATTAATATATAATATTTAAATGATAAGATTGTATTGATATGCTTTCACTTTATTTGGCTAAGGGATATGCTTTTTTCAATCAATAATTAAATTATTATTAAAAACCATTTATTAATTACTAATTTTAAACAATTAAACACTTATAAATATACCATATAAACAAATAAACCACGATATTGTATACAAGATTTATAAAATACACAATAATAAGTTATATGAATAAATTATATAAACAATAAATTAAAATATACTGCTCATTTTGAGAAGATTTTTAATAAAGATCATTTATTTTAACAGTTAAGGAAATAATGTCTCGTCTCTAACCATAGCGCTCATCACAGCTTAGAAATCAGTAAAGACTTAATCACTTGAACCGGGGGTTGTGGTGGCAATCCTGACCACATCACAGTATTGTGACACTGATTGCATTCATTTCAAAGTGAATGATTAAATAAAGACAATGTTTTCAGAGACAGTGAATGCTTACATTGAGTGGTAGTACACGATCTCTTACAACAGTCGTCGACAACACCTCTGATTTGTCGCCTATAATACCGCAAATCATTGTTATTTCTCAGCAAATGGACCAAAGCTAACGAGTATTTGCTTCCATCATCTGATGAATTGTTCTCATTCTCCAGATCTCAATACAAAAAGAAAACACAATTTTTAAACACAACTTCATGTTTGTGTTATACACTTATAAATGAAACAATTAATTCAATAATAAGAAATTAATTAAGAAAACATACCATCATTTCTGTCGATTCCTACGGAGTATGAGTTCCTCTTATTATAGCTCTCGCACAAGAAGTTGAGGGTTCGGGTGATTTCACTGCCGCAGTATCGTCGGGAAGAGCGGGTGTCGATACGGTGCGAGTCATATGTCGGACCATATGATGACAGATAAGTGTTTGGATCGCGGAATGCAGTGGAAGAAGATATGAAGACTAAAAACAATATACAGATATAGCTGAAGATCATGGCTGACAGCGCTCTTGTGATCATCTATGGGTTGGAAGCGAATAGTAGATTGAATTGAGAAGTGAATAGAAAGTTGTGATAAACTTATAGTTTTAAGCAAATAATGACTTACTATTGTATGGAAAGGTCTGTATTGAGACTCTACTCGACAAGACTGAGTCAATTGGTGTAAGAAATATTTGATTTCAAAGTCATTTTATATATCAAATCTAATGTTTTAAGCGATGATAAGTACCACTATATGTCAGTTATTTTCGTGTCTCAAAAATGAAGTGAATTTTGTGAGAGTGAGAGCAATAGTGGCACTAAAAGTGTGTGAACTGTGGATGACATTGACATGACATATACGTAGGAGAGATTGGGATATAATGCCTTAATTGATCCAAAGAACAACATATCCACACAAAAATTAGTGACAAAATCAAAATAGAAATATCTTTTACAGGTGTTGTTATTGTCAATGGGATAACACTCTCTGTAAGCGCTTTTTATGACCACTCCGTGTATGAACCATCAGATTAAGTACGAGAGCACATGTAGTCAACTCAGTAAACAAGTCTAATCCATATATACTGCCAGTGCTTTTAAATCTATAAATTCCATTTCTATTAAAACTAGTTTTTTTTAACTATTTATATAACGCTTTCTCAATTTATCACTACTTATTTTGCTTTCTCTCTCTCTCTCTCCACTATTTTCAGACTATTATATCACATAATTCTTATATATTCTTAAAATTGAATTTACTACAATTACATTGGTCCAATCATTTTTTAAAAATTTCTTTCATTGTAAATAAGATAACCTGGAACCTAATCTAATTCTTAAGGTGAATTACAGAATTACATTTATTTATCTATACTTAAATATTAGTTTGAAATGTAAAATGTCAAACATTAAGCAATCAAATATTTCCATTCATATTATTTTTTATAATTAATCTTTAGTAAATTATTTACTTAAAACTTTGTTAAACAATTGGACACTGCATAAATAAGAATAATAACATAATAATTTAATTATTATGTCATAATATACAATATTCCTTGGTGCATCCCCTCTATTGTATACAGAAACTGTATATTCATATAAACTTTAGAATTGATTAACTTGAGTACTTTTAAATTATGTATAAGTTTATACAGTATAATTTGTATAATAAAGTATAATTAATTAATTGTAAGTAAGTTATTGTAACATAAATTATACTAATTTGAATTAAGTTTTATTATACTGTAAATATATTTTCTCCCACATTTCCAATAGCACTTTTGCCTTTATGAATAAACTCGATTCACTTGCACATTTAAAGTTACTAAACTTATAAACTTTGAATAAACTATTAATACTTTACATTAAATGCACTTGTAGAATAATTTTATAATTTATTCAACTAAAGAATTTTATTGACAAAAATATTGATGAATTTACGATAAATTGATAATACTTTAGTGTATTAGTTTTCAAATATAGTATATAATATTCTATAATTTTAATATTCTCTAATGCTTATTATTAAAAGGTTTTATATTTTAGGTTTTTCAATGTACTTTCAGATAATTATAATATATTTTCAAAGAAAACACTAAAGTAATTATTCATATGAATTATTAGTAGAAACAAATGTTTGACAATTTGTTGCATTCTGTATATAATTAAAATTTGCGACATGAATAATAGTCCAATTTAAACAAAATATACAATCAATTATTATAGTACTATGGTAGTTAATGTGGGTATAAACCTCAAGTATGATTGAGTATTTTGTACTTTTATTATTGATTGAATCTATTACAAGTACCCAATTTCATTTTTATAGGAAATATTGTAGTAAATAAAATATTATATTTAGTTTATATTATTTAGTATTATAAAGTAGTATGTTTATGATAGTTTGTATTGATATTTATGTTTTAAAACAATAAAAATTGTTTGATATTTTATATTTACCCTAATGTCTGTTTTTAAGTTAAACTGTTAAGTTACAAGAATAATTTATACGTTTACAAAGTTTTTCATTATTTCATTATGAATTTAAAGGACTGTCTTGAATTCAATGCAAATCAAACTTTTAATTTAACAACTGATATAATACACAACATAACTATTAATATCCTTCCCATTGGTAAAGCTCCGTATTTACAGGTTTACGAAAAGTATGTTTAAAATAATATTCTGAACTCATCTTAATTTACTTATTGTAATATTTGATATTTATCTTAAAAGTAGGCGGACATCATATATGATATGCGGACCATTGGTTGCTCTCATCATTGAAACTACAAAAAGACTCAAAGCATTGTATGTACTCATCATATAATATATCATATTATGATACTTGCATATAAAATAACACAATTTGATCCATGGAATTATTATTAATACTTTTTCAATTAGTTTATTACTGAAAACCCCACCAAAGAGTATATCTGAAGTGATCGACACATTCATGAAAGAGAGGGTCGATGTGATCTTCCGACCCATTATACCCAACCATATTTCACTTCTTAATCAAATCACCGATGATTTTATAATTTCTAATTGTTTTGATTACGAAGAGTTGGCAAATATAGCATCAAAACCAATGCCCGGAACTCCACTCTTATTCCCATATTTTACTTGTTTCTCAAATCATGTCTGGCTTTTGGTCCTCACATCTCTTATTATAGTTTCGCTTTTATTGTCACTATATTCACGAAAAATCTCAAAAATTTATGAATATTTTTGGAATTTCTCAATTTTAATGTTTTCGACATCAAGACAAAAATTTGTGAAAAAATTCAATTCATTTGAAAACTACATTTTATTCATTTGGTTGGTGGTCGCCCTAAACATTTCAGTCGCTTTTTGTAGTTATCTCTTGGATTACACCGTAAGAAGTGATCCGATGATTAAAATTGATTCATTAGAAGACATGACAAGAGTCGAGAATATGCTGTTCTATACGAGTGAAGACACCACTCTCTATGAGTTTGCTATGAAATCGGACTCTCCTTTCGCCAAAGCAATCAAATCTCGGATCAAAGGATTCAAAATCGACCAAATGATGAACCAGTCGTTCAAACGCCAACTAATCACAGATCTAAGGACCGGAACCCATGGAATCACTAGAAATAAGTTAACACTTATCCATTTAATCACTATTTTGTCACATATGGATCCAATTAAAAGCCCAAAATTGCTTGACTTGATTCACATATCGACAAATGGTGGCGAACTATTGCCTGACTTCTTGGCCCTCAATAAAAATAGTGACCAATTAATTGGACAGACATTGAATGACAAGTAAATTGATCTAGTTCATTTGTGTCTTGTTATGTTAATTAATTAATTAATGTTTATGATTATAGTATTTATATATCACGAGAAATGGGTTTATATAAGCATTGGATTCAAAACTCACTCATGACTTACCCGGGA